TGTTGCGCCTAGGCCTTCTACTGTGCCGAGTCTGGCATCAGAAGCGGAAGATGGACTGAAGCCGCAGCGAGAGAATGGGCCGCAGCTACGAAGGTCCATTCGGCCCAGACTTCCTAACCGGCGCGTTGCGGGCGACGACTGGGCCAAGGCATGATGCAGCGTCGTATATACGGGATGGATGCGAGATGAGAGGCATGAACAATTATTGTAAACTCTTGCTTCCGCCTGCAAACTTCCTCTGACCCTGTCCTCTTTCTCTGCTGCCTTCCTCTGCTCTAGTCTTGCTACTCGCCTGACTCTGTACCGCTACCTGAATGTTGAGATTCATCTGAGTTCGTAACATCTATGCATTGACACCTTCGAAACAGAGGACATATGTCCCCATTATTCTGACCCCTCACCCATCCAACACATGAATTATGTTGTCACGGGAGATGCAAGGATCATTCAGTCCTTGTTGTTCAGTGGAGATGCATATGAAAATGACATGATAACTAGAAACCTTTATCTGGATCTGCACGTACCACCTGCCGGTAGTAGTGGGAAATCTAAAGTGAATAGGATTATCCCCAAACCATGCTGCTACAGTGATGTCTTGCTTGAGGGGATCTCATCTGCTTATGATAATGAGATGAAATGGCCTCCACCCTTGCATCGCCATATGGAAATTGGTGAGGGTATTAGCATCACAGATGTGGAGAGCGACAAGGGAATCAAAGCCATTCATTATGTGACACTGAAGCGCATTTACTCCTTACACGTGCATGATAATTCATGCATCCTTGCTGTTACACCCAAACGCCCACTTGATAGTCGGTACTACTTCATATTTGTACTCGAATGGTGCCGTGTGGAGAGGTGCCCAAAGTTAGAGACAGTCAGCCTGTTCGTTTCGCTATGGCTTATCGTAAACGATCGTAAATTTCCAGCCGGAATAGTATTTTTCTCTCATATAAACTAGTCAGCAGTACTTCTTCACGAACCAGCAACGATATGAACCAGCCAACCGAACAGGCTGAGTGTTTGCCTCTAGTTTTCAGTACGGATTTTCAAATCTGGAGACCATTTGGGCGTCAGACCTCTCTCAAGCTGCCTGCATTTGGAACAAAGGATCAATTGATGATGACAGAAGCAGCTTTCTAGCACTAGAGAGCATACACTTGCACGAGTGTCCCAGGCTCAAGTTTGCCCTCCCATTGTCACGCTCCACATACTTGCCTAGATTGGAGACTCTCCACATCACTCAGTGTGGTGACCTCAAGCAGGTCTTCCCATGGGATGATGATGTCAACGGGGCCTCAACAATACAGAGAAGCTGATCCGGTGAAGGAATTCCCCAATCTGAAGCACGTCCTCCTGCATGATCTCTTCAGTCTGCAAGAGATCTGCGAGGCCAAGATGACAGCACCCATGCTCGAGAGTGTCAGGATCAGAGGTTGCTGGGGCCTCAGGCGCCTCCCAACGATCGGCCATCGAAACATGTATCCAGGTATGTATGTATACCATTTATCCAGGTATGTATGTATACTGTTGTATGTGCTCTACATACACGTGCTGTCTTTTTTTTCTCTTCACTTCACGTACGTATTTTGTCATGCATTTATACGTTATTATCGATGTATTATTTTTGTGTAGGCTCAGGGGGCGCCAAGCCTGTCATGCATCATGTGTTGCCACTTTCAGTTCCACCGCAAGTTGCTGCTGCTGCAATATGGACCATCAAGGATTTGTTGCTCCACTAGTTGGTGTGCTGTGTTTGCAAGAATGTTTATTTCTCTCAAGAATAAACTGGTGGTTCGACGCTCTATGCATCCACCAAATTGGTTGTGTTTAAGACTTAATCTGTATGCGTCTCTCATCGAATCTCATCGATCAAGAGATGGATATTATTGATTGGTTTGTGGTTGTGTGTGTGCATGTGTGCTTGAATTTGAAATAAGGGGGATGTGCATGCATGTCCCTGACGTGTGTTGAGCTTGGATTGCTCAAAGACTTGCTCAAGGAAACGTTTGTCTACTTTGTGATCGAACTCTGTACAGTAAAATATGGCTTTGATTGATTTACATGCATGGACTGTGCGAAGTTTTTTGTTTGCATATCTGTTCCTCAGGTAATTATTTCCTAATGTATATCCATCAATCCCTGAGTTTGAAGTGCATAATAAGAGTTTAATATCAGAGTGCTCTGGAGAAACATTGTAACTTTGGATATAGTCTAGTCCAGAGACCACCTATTTTCCCTTTTCTTTCCTTTATGAAATAAAGTAAGAATTGCATATCACCAGATATGGCATCTCCAAAACATAGACTCCTGCACTTATCTTCCGTAACTGCCTGATAAATGATGATAGTGATATATTCAGATAGATAACATTCCTGGTCCATTCCACACACAAAAAGAAAAACAAGGCACCCAGTCCAAACAAAATCCTTTTATTGACCTAGAACATGTCCCATTTGGCTCTGAATTTCGAAACAACAACGTCCCAGCCATTTTTGCATTGATCAACAACACTTCAGAATTAGAGCTCAGTCATTGCACAAATGGTAAGTTCAATGTTTTCAACATCACAATCATAACAATTTGACTCCAGATTCTCTGACTGAATCTATAACGGCCTTCACTTTCCCATGGTACTTTTGTTCTCTCTTCATGTGGATGGACACTGCAGGTATATATTCCCTTGAGCAGCAGGCGTTCACCAAGCAACTTTCCGATCTTTGCAGCTGCTGCAACGTCACGGGTTGACTCCATGTTTGGCCTTAGAAGCTTCTCCTGTGAGCTTGCAGAACATGCAACCGTTGATGTTGGGGTGTGGATGACCTGAGCAGATACATACTTGTTTGTGAAATGCATCCTCAACAGGTAGGGCTTGAGGAAACGGGTTACTCTAGCTGCCCTTTCTGGTGGAGGGATCACCATGATTTATCTCTCTGCTGCAAGTTAACAGGGTGCAACAAAGCCTTGGTAAATTGGTAACACATCAGTGAATCGGTAACACATCATGGATGCTTAGGCCTTATTTAGATGCCAAAAAAATTGGCAAAATGCTACTGTAGCGGTTTTCGTTGTTATTTGGCAATTAGTATCCAATCATAGTCTAATTATGCTTAAAAGATTCGTCTCGTGGATTTCGTCTAAACTGTGTAATTAGTTTTATTTTTTATTTATATTTAATGCTTCATACATGCGTCTAAAGATTCGATGTGACGGGGAATCTTAAAAATTTTGGCAAAATTTTGGGGAACTAAACTGGCCCTTTAAAACAAAGATGCAAACAGTATGACAGACTATAGGATCAGCGCAAAAGGCGTGAATTGATTTTCAACCCTGTTGAGCTTTAAAGAACGAAAAGAAACAAATATAGCATCTTTTTAAGGCAAACTTGGATATTTGATCTGAAGCAGAACTAGGAAACTCTCCTGCTTACAATACCTAGCTCTAGCTGACTATCCCTGCATGGTAATAGTTGCCATTCCACTTCAAGCGAATAGATAAAACCATTTGCCAAAGAAAACAACATCTTTTATCTGCTATGTAGTTGCTTGGACATATTGCCAGGGGAATGACCTATAGTTATCAATTTAGAAAGCAAAGAGAAGCTTATCCGATGAATCTGCCATGTAGGAAAATAAATCACAACATGATCTACAAAACTTAATCAGCCTTGGTCTCAGCAGAACAGTGCCGGCCACAGAATCAAAATGCACACTAAGATCGTCACTCAATGTAAAAAAATGGTGCCAGATATGTAGGATACAACAAGAGCAGATTTAATGGTAGCCAACACATGGAGGGGGCTGAACCTTAGAGTATTTGTTTCATGCATGTTACCTTTTTTTTTCAATTTAGCAAGATGAAAAAAGAGATCAGGCCATGAAACAGTGTTTGCATGGTACTGGGTACAGAGTACAAGAAGAATAGGCTTCTCATCCTCATGTGTTCCAGCACTCGGTCCATGGCAGACATCGCCATTCCCCAAAGCATGACAGCTTAGGACCGAAATCATAGAGGGGGCATCTCATCTTTAGACCAAATCAGCCAGTTGATTCATCAATGTATTCCATTCGATTCAAGGATGCGAATAATAAACTCAAGAACCAGCATATCTAATAAGAAACACAGCACAAGAGGAGGAGGAGGAGGAGGCGCCGGACCTGTGGCTAGGAGACCACGGGGCCGCGCGGGTGGCCGGGGACGCAGCAGGCGGCGGCGGCGGCGGCGCGATGAGTAAAGATGGCAACGGGTAAAATCCGCGCGGATACTAGCCCTAGATATCCATACCCGCGAGCAAAAATCCGTGCCCGCGCCCGTTAACCGTCACGGGTAGAAAACCATGCCCGTGCCCGCTATCCGCGGATATCACATGCCCACGGGCACACCCATATACCCGCAAAAATGAAGCAACAAAGCACCCAACCATATCTTAATAGCAAGTAAGAAACAATATATCAAAAAAATAAACGTCTATATCTCAACATTAGATAAAGTATGACATATTGACTATACAAGAGTCATCAAAAGTCTACATTAGTGTATCTTAAGTCATCACAAATTAACACGAATAAAGACATACAACCGTATATAGACTTATAGGGTCATTGGCGCGGGTCTAGCGGGTTTGCGGGTGTGGATATCATTTTTCCATGCCCACGAGCAAATATCCATCGGGTTTAGAATCACACCCATGCCCGTGCCTGTGGGCACAAACTTAAACCCATATCCGTGCCTATCGGGTTTTCTATCCGCGGACACGCGGATATTTTGTGCCCGTTGCCAAATGGAGCGACGAGGGTGGCGTGACGGATCGGAGTCGGAGCAGGGTTAGCAGAAGGAAACCGTTGGGCCGAGCTGTACTATCATCACACCGCTGGGCTCAATGGGCCGAGGCCCATTTCAAACAAGCCCAGCCTAAGACCGCCTTTGCTGCGGCTGCGAAACAAACAAAACGAAACGGAAGCTGTTTCGCTCGCCGTGCGAAATAAGCTGCGGCGGCGGCGATGGCAACGACGGCGGCGGACGGGCCCCCGGTGGAGCCGCAGTCCCTGAAGAAGCTGAGCCTCCGGTCGCTGAAGCGCTCCCTGGACCTCTTCGCCCCCGCGCACGCCCTCCTCTTCACGCCCGACGCCGAGAGGTAACCTAGTTTGCCTCCTTCCTTTCCTCTCCTCAGAGGCACAGAAACCCTAGCGAGGATTCTGACTGCGTATTATCTTGATCTCGCTGCGGCGATGGTGGCGCAGCAAGAGGATTCGTACCGGGTGCAAGGTGAGGGCGGAGTACGGTGCGGTGAAGGACCTGCCGCCGGAGCAGGGGCGCGGAGGGCAGGGCAAGGGTTCTGCGCCGCCGTCGTCGATGGCATTGGCACTGCCAGGTTAGCTTCGCTCTTTTCTTCTTCCCCGTTCTCACAGAAATCATACTTTCGTTTTGCTGTTCAATGAAGGAGAAATCTTTCTAGATCGTGTAGAATGGTAAGCTAGCAGCAGTACTAGGAATTCATGAGTTTACCCTATTTGTCAATTGCTAGAGCACTTGAATATTGATTGATTTTAAGTTACTCACAGAATTCCAGAAATCGTGACTTGTATTGCGAAAATCTATAGTTTCTTTTCCCCTTAAATTAAATACCGTAGGCACATGGATTTATACTGCCTACTAGTAGTAAAAAGGAACAGACCCCCTAATAGCAAAAGGTAGGTTGCATCCCTGGGCTTAAATTGAACGAGAAACTATTGTTGAGGTACTCAGCTGGTTACCTTCAGTAACTCAGCTTGGGGTTGGGTAGCACTTATGATCTAGTACAGCTTCTGCCGATTTCCCTGCCTTCATCAAATGCAGTCGCTGCTACAGAAGAAAATTTGTCTTACACAGAAAATCATTGCGATTAGAAATTAGTTTACCCCAATTGCTATTCAGTTTGTGATTTGCCTGAAGAGCCATATCTATATCATCTAAAACGGCAAATGCATTGGGAATGAACTTTTTGGTTCCCCTGCTCTGCTTATGTAAGTGTTTCCAATTTTCCAAATTATATTTGCAATGAAAATAAAATAAGATAGTTCGGAATTGCAAAAGGCTCCATGAAACATGTCATGTGGGGGCGCCAATATCAAAGGCGCTCCAAGGCTCGAGACGCAGCCAGGGCAGTCTCCAAGGGGGCACCAGCTGTAGTTAATGACAATTAGTAGTCTGGGGAAAGGATAGAATTAATGAGAGATTAAGGATGATTAATGGGGAGAGAACCAAGGAGCTTGTGGCTGGCGCCTAGGGGCTGGGCAGTCCTATTTATACCCTGTAATCAGCTTATGAGAAGGCAATCAAGAAACAAGTTATCTCCTAATCTACCTCTGCTGCTCTTAATCTCATCCCCTTCATCTTAATCTCATCCCCTTCAACATAGGGCGTCCAGGGGATAAACCCCACGCCATTACCAACCCAAGCTACGAGCTTCGTAGTCAAGGGCCTGCTATCTTGAGCACCGACGCCCTTGACAAAACATGAGGTTTTTACTCTCTGCACCATTTTCTGATACAACTAATCACAAGTATAGATTTTGTCCTGAATGGTCTGCGAAAAGTAGGTACCTTCAAAGTTTGTTTTCATGGTTAATCAATCCTATGAGTAACCATGCCTCCAGAGCACATCGGAACATATAAAGTACTATTAGAATCATACCTTTTTAAATTTTGTTTCACCCAATCTTTCTTTGGAGAAAGTTGGATATCAAGTTCTCCTGTCAATATTTCCTAGTCATGCAGCTCATTTCCCCCAGAAAAAGGCCTGACCTGTAAAATTCAGTGTCCTACATCTACTTTATATCAGGACAGGAACAAACTACAAATGGTTAGAGGATTGATATTTCTAGCCAAGCGCCTAACCAAAATCTGGTATTTCCAACATTCTGGAGTTGATCTCCACAATGACTCCATAAAATTAGTTTAGTATTTTGCAAGCCTTCATGGATTGTCATCCACCCTCATAATTTAAGCTAAAAAATTCAGACAAATTAGTTTATTAGCTGTGTACATTTTGTTTTTCTTTTTTGCATTTCATTATCTAACTTGCAATTATCTTGTCAGGAACAAAAGATACAAAAGATGGTCACAGAGAAGGCACTAGTAATGCCATTGTCCCTGTGCCACTTATGCTGCCAAAAGCACCGTAAGTTCATCCACATAATGTTGCTTGTTATTAACTAGTTAATGCTGTTTTTTTTCATTAACTATTTTCTCCATATGATGTTTGTTCAGTGAGTCCACCATACCTGGCAAAAATACAACTCTGTCAATTCCTGGATCATCTGACAGGTTTATTCCCTTGTACTTGCTTGTATTTTATTCTGTTGATGACTCTATTGTACTTAATGGCTTGATATCAGCAATTGTTTCTTGATGTTCTATTGCATTAGAACATCCTTTGTTTATTTTATGGCGCTATAAAGGCTGTAAAATCTAGTGCTTCAACCTTCTTGCCGTTGTTTACAACAACAACATAGCCTTTCAGTCCCAAGCAAGTTGGGGTAGGCTAGAGTTGAAACCCACCAAGAGCCCCAAGTCACGGTTCAGGCACTTCAATAGCAACCTTCTTGCTGTTGTTTAATGTTCCTTTTTTTTTTGCTTGTATGGGTACTTGTTTTGTTTGTAGTTATATGCTATGCTCCAATATTTTTCATGTTGTGGTTAGTTTCGTGAGTCGTGGCACCTTTTATGACTCCCCTGCGTCCCTTTTCCCCTTTTGCTTGCATGGATCGTCTATATTTATTTATTTATTTGTATAGTGTCATTTTCTGCCGGCGTAAATTTTCTATTGCATAATTGCATAAATAAAGTCAATTATTTAGTAACTTTATTTAGGTGCTTTCATGAGTTCTGTCAATACCAAAGAATTAAAAAGGATACATGAATATATTTTGGGTTGCGGCTATGATAAGTGTAGTGGCTATGATACATTGATTCTTATGCACATTTGGTGTACTTGTACTGGAAAATATTTTGGGTACCTTATGTATTGGTAGTGTATCATTGTGCAACTTCCTGATAGCCCTTGGCGTGGTCTAATCCAAAAATTATAAAGCTCCTTAACAAAGACCGGTTCCTTACTATCAGAAACTAGCAGTTTGCTGTATGGTTTGGGTCTTGGGCTTTCTAAAATTATGGCTTGCCATCTTCTGTATTTTCTTAATATACTTGCAACCTTATTTTCTCAATGATAAAATTACTTTATTGTATGTGCATGTGCACCAATAGTTTTGTATAAAAAAATGCATTTTAAGTCCCCTTGATTTCTGGTCAATTCAGAATAATTTGTTTTTGGATGGAGCAGTTTATAGAATTTACCACTCGCTTTGTGAAGTGCTGATATCTTTGGGATATCTCCCAGATTTTCTACATCTGCACTGATGGAAAGGATACCTAGTAGATGGCCACGGCCTATATGGCATGCTCCTTGGAAGAACTATCGGGTACTTTCTCTCTCCAGTATAGTGGTACATTTCCGAGTTCATTATTTGAATGGTTTGCACATTAGTGAGGAGTCAGTACAGATTTTTCATTGTGTTTCAGTATTCATGATCGAAGACTATATACTGCACTTGCATCATTGCATGTACTTTTAACATCCAGTCTAACCATTGTCAGACAAAACCACTGACCCTGCATCTTCCTTTTGCATGTGTGATTTAAGTACAATAGAAGATTGGTTTATGGTAGCATTCTGGTTCTCATTAAGGCCCCGTTTAGATCCAAATTTTTTTGGATTTTGGCCACTGTAGCACTTTCGTTTGTATTTGGCAATTAGTGTCTAATTATGGACTAATTAGGTTCAAAAGTTTCGTCTCGCGATTTCTCACATTAGGTTTTTTTTCGTCTACATTTATTACTCCATGCATATGCAGCAAGATTCGATGTGACGGGTACTGCGCAAAATTTTTTGGAATCTAAACGGGGCCTAATTAAAAGGCAGTTTTAATTTTCTTCCACAAATTAGGTCTTGAACTTTAAATTATGCAGGTCATCAGTGGCCACTTGGGATGGGTTCGATCTATTGCATTTGATCCAGGGAATGAATGGTTCTGCACTGGTTCTGCTGATAGGACAATAAAGGTAAATTTCATTTGTCCTACACTTGCAAACTGAAATAACTCTGAGTTCTTGTCATTATCTTATTCTCTTGAGGTTTTCTCTATCTGTTCCACTAAAACAACTCTGATTTCTTGACATGATTTTATTCTCTTTGGGGGTTTTCAGTCTGTTAAACTCATGTTCATCTACTACTTGCTATGACAATGGCCCACATGTCACCGACAGTGGTATTTTGTGAGGCCACAATTGTCGCATATGTTATGAACCGAAATTTCCATTTCCCTTCTCTTTGCACTTCGTTAGTCTATTAGAAGTTGATAACAACTTCGATGCTAGAGCTTTGTAACATCTGTCACCATATATTTTGTTTAGTTATACACCTAATACTGCGAATCTGATAATCTACTCTTGGGGTGGGTAATATAAATGGGCTTCAGACATAACCAGTAACAGGGCTGGTTCCCAGTTGCGTTCCACACCTGACACCTGGGAGACACTGCATATGTACCAGCCGTTCCTTATGGTCATGCATCCTAGTATTATTTGGCTTTCAATCTCTCATAATCAGGATGACCCTATTTGAATATTTCTTTATGTTGCATACCTCGGCCCTTTTTGTCTCCTTTTTTTTGCAAGAACATCTAGTATGAATACAATGCAATTGACTATCTCCCCCTCCTGTTATCTACTTAGTGTAATGTTAAGCCAACAGTTCAATTTTGTCACTATACTTTCTTGTATGCTCATTCGTCCTGCAACTCGTGTCTTGCTGTAGATATGGGATCTTGCATCAGGAACCCTGAAGCTTACACTCACTGGTCACATTGAACAAATTCGTGGTAAGTTTGTCTTTGTTTTTGTGAGCAGGATCTACTCAACATTCTTACACTAAGATTTGTGTCCCAGTGTAAAACTTTAGTAACTTATGAATGTACTGCACATTACTGTAGGGCTTGCTGTCAGCCAACGTCACACTTATTTATTTTCTGCTGGTGATGACAAACAAGTAAAATGTTGGGATCTTGAACAAAACAAGGTTAGTTTTACACTTTTACTTTAAGTATGGCGTATTTTGTGTGGCATTTTGACTTCTCTTGACATCTGACCTGTATTCTATGTTAAAGGCTATTAGGTCTTACCATGGGCATCTGAGTGGTGTTTACTGCCTAGCTCTCCATCCAACAATTGATATCTTACTGACTGGTGGTCGAGATTCAGTTTGCAGGGTATGGATCCCTCTTGCAATCGCACCTTATGAAAAATCTCACCGTATGCAATGCTCATTTGGTTTTTCTTGCGTTATATACAGGTGTGGGACATCAGAACAAAAGCACATGTTTCTGCTTTAACAGGGCATGACAACACTGTCTGTTCAGTGTTTGCTCGGCCTACGGTAAGAATGCATTTTCACCTGTCAAATTCACTATTCACCACAATATTGAGTCCTGCCAAACAATACACTTTATTTCATGATGTGGTTTTATTTGGAGTCACTCCCTCGTAATTAGCCAATGGACTGTTTGAAGCAGTGTCTCTCTCGGTTCCATGGCTACTTTGCTTCCTTGAAAATACTAGCAATTGGTTGTTTTAGTAAAGTTTAAAGTTTAATGATAAAAGGCAAATGAGCAACCTTGATAGAACTCCTATGCCATCAGCAGTTTTACCATTTAAGCTATGCTATTTTAAAATGTATTTGTTCTACGGTAAATACTCTGATCTGTCCTGCCTTACAGTTCATAAAAAAACTTCTTTCTTGCTTTCTCTTGTCTCAGGATCCTCAAGTTGTCACTGGTTCACATGATACAACTATTAAATTCTGGGATCTTGTAGCTGGTAATTCATCTGTCAAATGGAACACTGTATACTGCTGTTTTTACGTATATATTTTTATTACAGTTGTTTCCTCCTGCAGGGAGGACTATGTGTACCCTTACGCACCATAAAAAGTCTGTCCGAGCTATGGCTCTTCATCCAAAGGAGTAAGTTTTTATCCATGATTTGATTTTCAATATTGTCTACAATGTTATGGACCTTTATATAGCAACCCTTTTTCAGGAAAGCATTTGCATCAGCGTCAGCAGACAACATAAAGAAGTTTAGCCTTCCCAGAGGCGAATTTCTGCACAACATGCTGTGAGTCTTTCATATAATTAATTCTCATTTTCACATTGTAACTGAACGCATTGTGGTTCATGCTTACTGCTACATGATTAATATCAAAAGCCATACCACATAATGATGTCAGAAGGAAATGCCTTTTAAATGTCAAATACATGATGTTGGGTGCCATGATCCACGAGCCAAGAAACCTTGGGCGTTTCTGCAATTTTCCAAAATTTACCACCTTTTTTGCGATTAAGTTACTTGATACATATGCTGGTTGTGATGAATTCTTATTAGCCTTTTGTACTTCCACACTGTTCCCTTCCTGCTTTTTCAATAATAAAATTTTTGAATATGCACAATTTGCTAGTTCCCTGACATGAACAGGGAGTAAACTTGGGATCGTACTTCCAATATTTTCCTAAGCAGATACTAAATTTAGATTCAAATAGAAACCAATTTAGCCTGGCAAGGAAACCAAATCTCTTTATTGCCTTGTGGTTTCTTTCCCCCTCCTTTCTCTCTTTTAGCTGATCGGATCAGTTATGCTTTTTTAAATATATTGTGTCTCCAACATTCTGCATTCTTTGTAACATATAGAGGAAACTCATTGAGTCCCTCTTTGACATTGCATTAGGCTCTTCCTAAATGCTGCTTACATGCCACTGAGACATCTCATATCTTCATTATGTTCAGGTCACAGCAGAAAACAATTATCAATTCAATGGCTGTAAATGAGGATGGTGTCTTGGCAACTGGAGGTATGTCGTATGTACTGTACAAATTGTCATGTTTGTTGTAATTGAACATACATGTGGTCTTATTAAGAAACTTTGGTTCACAATGTTTCTAAATACAATAATATATTGATTGGAAATTGGAAATATCAGAATCGTGTGTGCATTTGTTTTGAAAGGTTGAATAAAAATAGTATAGCTTTTTTGGGGTTATATAACTAGGTTGATTGAAAACTATTGTAGTCAAACTAAGCTGAATTGTGGAGACCATGTGGATGTGCAGAATGGTGTGTATTAATAACTTGTCAATATTTGAAACCTTCTGTGCAGGGGATAATGGAAGCCTGTGGTTTTGGGACTGGAAGAGTGGCCATAACTTTCAACAAGATCAGACTATCGTCCAGCCTGGTAAGTTTTAATTTGCATCATGCAGGCACCGATAATAGGAGATAAGCAACTATGTTTTGAGTCTCCACAATCTTTTTCCTCATATGTGATGTGCTTGAGAACACCAGTAGTTTCAAAAATGCTGCTGGCGGCTTAAATCAGCCTAAATGTTATCACCCTAGAGTTCTTTGGTTACTCCATAGCAACTAGCCAAACTATTCCAGTGGCCCATCATCTAGGTGTTACCTAGATTATGTTATGTCTGTAGAAAAGCATACGATTTGAAGTGGTCATGCTCATTACTGGTATCTCCCCCATTTTCAGGATCACTGGAGAGCGAGGCATGCATATATGCCCTGTCGTATGACGTCAGTGGATCAAGGCTTGTGACTTGCGAGGCGGATAAGACCATAAAGATGTGGAAAGAGGACTTAACAGCGACGCCAGAGACACATCCCATCAATTTCAAGCCCCCAAAGGACATCCGAAGATATTGATCGATACTCAAATCCTACAAGCTAGTGGATCGTTGGAGCCTCCCCAATTGTGCCCGCGACCCAACTCGCTGCTTGAAATTCTGCGTACACGTCCAACTGTACACTATTCCTGGGAAGACTGTATGGATGACTAATTCTACATTAGCTGTATAATAGGTGCATTTGCACCGGTGGTTGTATTAATGCCGAATTTGAACCAGTTGACGTGGCCAAATTCGTTTTGAGCAAGCATTGAGCGTTTGTTTTGTACCATCCCAGTGGCATTCTGGTGATTGGAATTCTGTTGCTTCATTTCATCCATCGACGTCCGTTCCTGCGGGGACGTGCTTCTGACTGCTGTGAATGCTATCTCGTGTTTATCTTGCGTTTTGAGAAACAAGTTTGGTTGCATCGAGATTCATCGGGTTTGTCAAATTGTTAGGGTGTTATTCAATTCAATCAAATGTATAACGTAGCATAACTAATTTATGGTAGGACAAGAGAAGTTGTCATGGTTAAGACAGCGTTGTGCTGGCCGGGACCCAAGTACTGTAATATTGTGGAATCATATCATGTGTATGTTCTGCTCAAAAAAAAATACCATGTGTATGTGCACGCCAATCCGGTCACAGAATAGTGGCGTGATTGGTCGCCCGAAACGGGCCGTCCTCGCACGTTTTGCCTGCCTCACAACATTGGCCCTGTTCGTTTGAACTTATCAGTTATGGTACAGCGTTTTTCTCTCACAATAAATCAGTGGGTAGTACTTTTCAGTCTGGCTTTTCAGCGAGGCGAACGGGGCTTCCTCTGTCGTGTTTGGTTCCTCTCCTCGCACGCTTTGCCTACTTTGTCTCATTCCTCTACCCTCCGCCATCCCGGACGACTTTGTCTTGTTGAATTCTCTTTCCCTCGCGATGCACGCATGGTGCAGGGGCCCATGTATCGTGCACTCAAAATTGTGATACATGTCTACAACCAAATAAGATCTCGTCTCGTATTGGACCAGTAACAAAGACAATCAAATACGACTAGGTGTATCCTATCGTTTGAACATGATGGATGGATGCATCGAAACGAAACCTGACCTGACGTTGATCAACAGAATAGAGTTATAAATAAAGGTCACCCAGGCAGCAATTGTATTTATGTGAGCTAGGTGGTCAGCTGTTGGTCGCGAACACAAGGCCACAAGGCTTTGCTGCCGCCGGCTGCACGCGCAGCGACCGTGTCAACAAACAAAGGAAAAGCTAGGCGCGGAGAAGAATTAAGAAACAGCTGCCGGCGGGCGTCAGTACATACGTAAGCAAATACTGCTCTTTTCGGTGCGAACGCTATTATTCTGCCACATGACATATTGCACTTTGTTTGTCACATGCAGTAGGATGCATGATGCCACGATTGTTGTTGGGATACACCACATACCGTCCGTCCGGTTTCATTTGTGATCCAGTCCACGCAGGTCGGTCGTAGGTACGTCAGTGTGTGCGTTAGCAAAAGGCGCTGGGAGGGATAATTCCGGCCGAATTCGGCAGCAACAGTGGAGCGAGGCCCAATGGAAAAATTCCTGATTGAAAAAAGAAACATAATTCCATCCAGGTGAGGCGATGATGATACGGCCAGCAAGTGACAGTGACAGTGATTGTGACGGTGACAGACAAACTAATGCGCTTATCACCGGACTGTAATCATCTCAGCGTTACATATACGTAGCATATAATAACTCCAAAATTTGATGAGATCTTTTGTCATGGAATCTTCGGTATGACGAGATTCCATCTCCTTATTAGCCATCATGGATACGCAGGCCATATAATAAGTAAATAAATCCACTTCAAATCAAATCAAATCAAACAAACATAAATAAATCAATCAATCAACTCTGGCCGTACGATATATATATATATATATAGACGACGATGGATCTGAGCACATACTCTCTCTTTTTTTTGTAATATATCAGATAGTGGGGTATATAAGAACAGGGCCGGGACGCATCAAGATCCGCTGTCTGAAGAAGGGGATCGATACCTTCTTGGCTTGACGCACATGACTTGGATTAGCCGGCGACGTTGTTTTGTTAAGTTTACCCTACTCTCCTGGGACATGTATAAATTTGTTTGTTTGTTTGTTCCTTTACGTCGTGTATATACATGCCACTGAATCATGACTGCTACTGATGCTTCCATTATAAATTATAAGTACGACTTCTACTCTAAATTATAAGTTATTTAAACTTAGCTTTTCTACATAAATGATTTTGTAGTATTTATTTTGATACAGTGTGTATCTTTATTTTAACGAAGATATGGTGCACTCCCACCGTCCTAAAATATATCATATTTTCATTTGTCCAAAATCAATCAATCTCATATTTAACTAAAATTATATGAAAAAGTACTGACTTTTCTAGTTACGTAGCTTTTGCTATGCACACGAGCTTTTTATGTGGTGCTCTGCATATCATGTGCACCGGATATCACGACAGCACACAAGCCTATGCTGTGCACGAGATCGCATTATCTGTTTGTTGTTGTACTTGCTTTCAAGGACAGGATGGCCACCATACCGATCAATCAAACTGTCGGCACGAAAATGTGTTGGACACACGGTAAATCAGAAGGATTTGCTTAGAATGAATCCGGAGATCCGCTTAACTTCAACGCATGGTTAACCGATCCTGCGAATTTCTCTCGAGACGTGCTAGTCAATTTGACCTGCAATTGATAAGGAGAGAAGGTTTACCAATAATTTAAGGTGAAACATGCCGATTTTTGCCCGGACAGTTCCAAATATGCCGCTTTAGGAGCAGCCAGACGAGAAAATCGACTAAATAGCCGATACGCACAGAAATCGGCTGTTATGGACAGTAGAGCTTATGGATCGCGATTGGTTTTATGTTGATAAGTACAATGCCCGCAGATGTAGATGAGATCATCAGATAGGTGGATATTATCATTGTGAATCGTTGAGCTGATGAATCTAATCAAGAAATGTTATAACATGCAAACAAATCGACTATCTAATACAAATGGACCTACAAACGCTCTGAATCTAATCTGTTACCATCAACAGTTAGGTTCGACCGGATCGATGGCAACTATGATGATAATAACAAACTAAAACCGAAGAATCCGTAAAACCGTCTATACTTCGATAGGCTTTCCGAAAGACATGCTATACGTGAAGACTCAAACGAATCAGCTGAAATAGCCGATTCAGGTGAAAAGAGACTACAGCGTGTGAACAATCGACTATTTCACATGGACAAACCTATGGACTCATCAGACTTAATTTACTATCTCTAACAGTGAGGTTTGACCGGATCGATGCAGCCGTGATAAAGACAACAAATCAAATGCTTAAAGTACACAGATCTATTCATGCTTAACAGAATCATGGATGCACACTGTAGGCATTAAAGCATGGACGATCGACTATTTAGCCGATGCAGGCATAACAAACAGTTAAGGTCATGCCTGATCGAGAACAAACCTACTAACTAGCGTCCTCCAATCTATAGTGACATCAGTGGAGATCGACCGGCTCGTTGCAGCCATAATAGCGAACTATAGATTAGATTCAACTAGCCAGCAAACCTCTTCAGGATCATACGTGCCTTAACCACGTACTATGCATGATCAAGATCGAAATAGAACAACCGATGAAACATAACCCGTCGCTCAAAGTAAGAAACATCGTGTTGTGACAAAATAAACGACAGACTAAAAGGATATGAGGCCAATCTAGATCGATCTCGACCGGGCAGATTGATGTTGCTGCAAACTAATAGCAATAAGAACATCAGCAAGATCGGTAACTTAATGAATCTACCCGAAGGACACCACTCTTAGGTAGAGCCAATAACTTGACCTTAATCTAATTCGAGCAGTGGAGGTCGACCGGATCGATGTAGCCGTACTTGAATTAGACAAGAGTCGATAACTAGCTTATACTAGAGTTCGCAGTGGAGGTCAAACTTAACTGATGCAGCCGTACAAACAGAAGTATAAGCCATGACGGTACTTACAGACAAGCCGGAGGTCGGCCGGACCGATGCAGCCCTGCTTGTTGAAGAACTCACCGGGATCTACTCTACTCCTACTCCTAAGGGTTGACACGGAGCCAAAAAAAGTAAATTGTATTTGATTGATTGGATGTCCCTTTTACAATAGCCGGGGTTCAATATTTATACCCGGAATCTAAGCATAAATCCTACTTAATTATGACTCATTACAATCTTTGGCATAAGAGAAAACATTCCTAATTTAAGATAATTTGGACCCTAATCTTTCCCCTTTTGTAGAGTCCAACATGTTTTCCCGACGCCAACCGTAGCTTTTGTCATTATCTGCTGACATCATCTAAAGAGAGTCGATTCTAGTGCTGTATTTGAATCAGCTGATATTGACTTTTATGCAATCGATTCCTTGATGACACAATATTGGGAGCTTCGAGTTCCTGCATTTCTCTTCGCAAAATTTAGTGTAAACACATGCCCCCAATTTTGGGATAAAGGTAATTTTATTCCAAAATTTCCATGCCTGTGCCTCCGATAGGTCCGTAGTCACGGGTAGAGAATCTTGATCTGGGGTTCACTATCTATCATCGTCTTTGCTAGCTTATGAGCCCATGCTTCAAAGCTTTACGAGAGCATCATTACTTCACGGGCGTTTGGATCCATCTTTCTAGGCCGACTATAAATGTCTATCCGACTCTAGCGAGAGTAACTCAATAACTTCAGTTATGTTTCTCTTCTATTTGCTTCCTCGAGTGCCCCTGGTTCCACCAAACCCTCCATGGTCTAATTCCTTGCTATGAGGATCTTGAGTGGTTAGAAGAATTCTTGTGCATAGAGTGATTGTGCCGCTCATTTTAGTGCCTTATCGAGCAAGAGGATCAGCTACTGCGGTTAGAAGAATTCTTGTGACATCACCTGAGTTTTCTCACCATGATCGCAGAGCTGTTCTAGTGTTTGCAAGGGCTAAAATGTGTGGACACCTTCCCCTTCTTTGCTTCATCAA